CCACCACCAGCTTCGAGGAGGGTATGCAGCGCACACAGCGATTTCTGGGCAGCCTGGGCCGCTATGGCAACACACCCTTTCTCTTTCCCATGTATGGGTGCGGGGAATTGCCGCAGTGCTTCTGCCGCTTGTGCGCTGTTTATGGTGGCATTTACTGCCTGAAGCGAGCTGTTGACGACATTGCCTTAGATTCCAATTCGAATGAATTCCTGCTGAGCAGCGCGGGGAAAACTTTGCGGGCCAAGAATGTGGTCTCTGCCCCTGGCTATTCACCAGTTTCAAAGGGCATCGAGTTAAAGCCTCATATCTCACGTGGCTTGTTCATATCGTCCAGTCCCTTGGGCAACGAAGAGCTGAACAAGGGAGGGGGCGGTGTGAATCTTCTCCGACTGCTTGCCGATGGGGGAGCACGGGAAGCCTTCCTAATTCAACTGTCGCATTACACAGGAGCCTGCCCCGAGGGTTTATGTAAGAACTTTCAGAAAATATGTGATTAGTACTTTTTTAATGAATATATTTTTACAGATATCTTCCATCTGACCACGCCAGCTTTAAGCGAGGATCCAGCGTCCGATCTAGCTGTTTTCACTGGCCAACTCTTTGATCAATCAGACGCACAAATAATATTTAGCTCGTACTTCACAATTGCTGCCCAGTCTAGTAAAAGTCCCGCTGCCGAGCACATTTACTACACCGATCCACCTACCTACGAGCTGGATTATGACGCGGCCATTGCCAATGCTCGCGACATATTTGGGAAATTGTTTCCAGAGGCCGACTTTTTGCCACGAGCTCCAGATCCAGAGGAGATTGTCGTGGATGGTGAAGACCCCAGTGCCTTGAACGAGCACAGTTTGCCCGAGGATTTGCGGGCACAGCTGCACGACATGCAGCGGGCAACTCAGGAAATGGATATACAAGATTAGACAGAATTAAATAAAAAGGAGGTTTCCTCAGTCTCCAAACATCATTAGATATTAGACTAATTTCTTATGTGTCTTTCGTCAAACTTTATAGATCAAAAGAAATTTTGATGGATTGTATACAATTTTGCTTCATATATTCCTATATATTTATTATGTAAATTATTTATAATCGCTAAAAGTACTAGGTATATATAAATGTTTATATGTGAGTGCTTCTGTGCATTTTGCTTTGATAAATATACGTTCGAAAAATATGCATTTCAATGCGTATAAAAATGGTTCTCCTTTATAAGTATTGCTTGACGGGTTACTGTTTTTTATCGCACGAAGACAGAAAATAAGTGTTAATATTTAACAAGGAAGAACGAATAGTATAAGTCTTATAAAATTATGATAAGGCAGTTCACAATACGGGCAGCTACAATAAACGAAAAATAATTTTTATTTGAGCATACCTATATTAAAAGACAAATCAATGGAAGGTAGGACATACGATACCAAACATAAATGTGATGAAAACAAAGATAATACAAACAGAAAATATGTTTTCGTGCTGGAAGATACTGCCGATGACTTCTCTTTGCTTTTTTCTCTGCATTTTACAATAAAGCTTTTGTGTTTTCATTTCTTGTGATTGATTTTAGACCTTTCCAGTAGGTTAAATTTGCACAATGCTCGAATAGGTTCTAAAGGATACAGATGAGTGGTCTGTAAGATTCAGAAGTCATCTGCAAGTTTAACCCAATGTAAAGGCAATTGAGTGAGTTGAGATTTCATTATCAGTTGTCATGCGAAATTGTGAGTTGCTATTCCTATATCTTAATCAGATTATTATTGATATTCTGCTGGCGTTTGCGCTTCGCATTCATGGCGTCAACAATTGGCTGCCGCTTGGCATTGTATTTCTTGTTTAGTTGCTCGATCTCCAGCTCCATCTCGTGATCGATGTTGCACAGCCGCTGGTTCAGATCGTCAAAGGTGAGGAACTTGAGGAACTCAAACTCACCCTCCACATAGGCGTGCGATTGCGTATGCATATGCTGATTCTGATATGCGGGCGGCGGTTGAGCTGGAGCCGCAGCCGCAGCCGGTATTCCCTGCTGGCCCATAGGCGCTGCGTTGCTGAGCAGCAGATTCTGTTGATTGTTGAGTGCGATGAGCTGTTCGTTCATCAGGGGATAAGCCATGAGAACTTGCTGCTGCTGCTGGTGCTGCTGCAGTCCATACTGATTGATGGCGGAGATCTGCTGGAACTGCATTTCCATGTTGTGCTCCCAGTTGTTCAAGTCGTTTGCTCCGCTGGCCAGGTGCTGTTCCTCCTGCTGTTGCAGCTGCTGCTGCTGTTGTTGCTGCTGCTCCGCTGCTGCCGGAGAATATTCGGTGGCTATAGGTTTTTCATCGCCACGAGCATCTCCCGCATTTTTGCGATCGAAGTGCTCCAGGAACTGCGGCCTATATCGGTTTCGCGGCTTCTGATCGTCGTTGTTCTTGGCCGTTGTAGAGTCGTCCGAATCGGAGTTGATTACCATAGTGCCTGAATAACCGACAATACTTTACCTAATGACTAGCTCTTTTAAAATCATGTACATACCCAAGTTCGACTCCAGTTCTACCATTGTGCCACTGTCAACTGCCGGCATGTCTAGAGGAGATGCTGTCGAGGAGGCCGCTGCAGGAGCAGCAGCCTTGGACAGGTTTCTTAGGCCTCCCGGCCCCAAAGTGCCCTCATCCACGCCCTGTTCTGCATGCGCTATCATCGTGGCATCCGAAGCAGAGCTCTGTTGGTATTCACCGAACTTCTCCGGCACCAGAGTTCCTGGGTCCTCCATGAACGCGTTGTCCATGATGTGTTGTTGCATTCCGTTTTCCTGAGTGGCCAAGCTCTTCGCCTGACTAGCTCCCCCGAAACTGCGATTGGCGCGTTGCTGTTCGCGGATGGCACAGGTCTCCTCCAGCATGGGCTTCAGGATCGATCGGTGTTTGGCGTTGCGTATGAACTCGTGCTCCAGCAGTTCAGTGGCCGTTGCACGGTCATCTGGCTCCTTCACCAGGCACTTGCTCACGAAGTCAATGAACTCTGTGCTCCAGCGATCAGGTTCCCGAAACGAGGGTGGTGGCTTCTGGGGAATCATGAAGATGGCCCGCATGGGATGTATGTCGCCGTATGGAGGCTTTCCCTCAGCCATTTCCAGGCCGGTGATGCCTAGTGACCATATGTCTGCTACACAGTCGTAGCCAATTTCCTCAATAACCTCGGGGGCCATCCAGAAGGGCGTTCCGATCACAGTATTCCTCTTGGCCATTGTGTCTGTAAGCTGACCAGCGACTCCAAAATCGGCCAACTTTGCATAGCCTTCGGTATTGAGCAGAATGTTGGCCGCCTTGATGTCGCGATGGATCTTGCGGCGCAGATGCAGATAGACCAAACCCTGCAGTGTGTCCGACAGAATGGTGGCTATCTCGTCTTCCGTTAGCGTCTTTTTGCGCAGACGCATGATGTCCGAGACGCTGCCGGCGCCACAGTACTCCATGCAGATCCACAGGTCATACTGCTTGAAGTAGGAGCCGTAATAGCGAACCACATACGGCGAGTCACACTGTTGCATAATGGATATCTCCTTGATGATCTCGTGCAGGTCGGACTCCACGGGCACCAACTTGATGGCCACAATGGAGCTGCTTTCCTTGTGGACCGCCTTGTAGACCGATCCGTAGCTGCCCTCGCCCAGCTTGTACATAATGTCGAAGACCTTTTCAGGCGGCTGCAGAAGCGACTCCTCCGACAGCTTCTTCAGCTTAAAGAACGAGCAGGAGGAGGATATATTGGGCGATTTCATACCTGCAACGCCGGTCACCTCTGGCTCAGACATTGCGTAAAACTTTCTGATTTAGCACGGGAAAACACAGATAATTGGCTATTCACAGCGACATATCACACTTTTGTTCTTTATTCGCACCCTATCGCTAGCCAACACTGGTAGTTCTCAGTTCCCTCGGCACTGTGCAACACGCCGCCCGCACAAAACAGGTGCGGCGTTGCCAGACAAACGCCAAACACTGCGGAATGTAAACAAAGCACCAGTGCTGCATACCAGAGTCGGCGATTTATCGAGCAGTTGTTTTGGCGCACTTTTTAAAACGTAATTTATTGGGCCAGTAAATAATTACCCTCAAGGCAATTGATAAGGCAGTTTTCATTTGTTATGAAGATGCCGAGATCGTATTGTTAAAACCTACTTTGATTAAAAGCTTTAGAATTTCTGATTTATATACAATATTTATAATAATAACTCAACTTATCTTAATCCGATTTTGAAGTGGAATGCCTCTAAATGTTTCTGGAGCAATTCTCTAAAAATCTGCATTCAAATTTAGAAATCTATTTTTTTTAATTTTTTTCTTATTTTTTTGATGTGATGATGTTGTAGAAATGCAAAAATATTAAGAAATGTCCCAAGGCTGAAATTCTAAACTCCATAACTCAACTTATCTTATTCCGATTTTGAAGTGGCTTAGCTCGAAATGTTTTTTGTCTTCTAATTTGTGTGTTTAATTGGTTCTTGTATTATTTTTGAATATTAAATCAAATTGCATCTATGGATTGATACTTGCTTTTCTGTTTTTATAGTTAATTAGTCAATTACACTAACTAAAAATCAGATTAGCGTACGTTAGGTTGTATGATTGGCATGAGCTGTGCCAATTTGTCGTTGTTAATCTGCGGTTGCGCCCAAGAAAACCCTGATTGCCTCCATTCCATTGGGTTCGCTGACCTGAAATGCCCAATAAAAATGCTTCGGAAATCCATGTGGACTTGGAGACTTTGGTTAGTGCACAGTCGAATGATAATAACAACATAACTGGCGCCTAAAGGGCTAACCGGCTTGCTATTGTAACAAATGCGACTGGAAGAGAGCACCGCGCCGAATGCGAACCAGCGGCTTTAGCTCCAACTGTTGGCTTATCGGTCACTAAGCCGCCCCACGGCCCTAGCAACGTGCTCCATAGAAACGACACGACACGACACGACACCCAACAGCAAAAGCAACGCCAACACCAGGAGTGCCAGCCAGGCTACACAAATTCCTTCGCTCGGCAGTTCGCTGCTTACACTACGTGGCTGCACATCGTCGCATCATCCGGAAATGGCCATGGCCCAAACGGCACGCACCGCGACGGCAAGGCGTCCCACGCATGACTACCACAAGCCGACGCGCTCCAAGTCCGCCAATCCGGCGCAACTGCGTCCACTTAGCGGCATCCATGGCGCAGCGGTGTCATCGCGTCCGCGCTACGTTCCACCCTTCTCCATTCAGTCGCAGCAGAAGAACACGGTCGTCATCGACGGACCCATCCACGAAACCGCCCCCAAGACAGCCAGTGCCAGGAGTCGGGTCCCCAATCCAAAAAGTGCGTTACTTTGTTTATTTGGGTGTTTCGGCGCGGTATTTGTTTCCCTAATGACATTCCTGCCCCATTTGCATGTACTGATTTTCAGTTCTGAGGCGCCAGCAAAAGTCCATGTCCACCTTCAATTTGGGCATGGGTCTTAATGGCTGCTCCGCCGGAGGGGCTAATGATCCGGGACGAGGAACCCTGTTCCGCATGTACTTCGACCGCGGCGACCTGCCCATCAAGATGGAGTATCTCTGCGGGGGCGACAAAATCGGATGGACGGTGAGTGGGGCATAGTCGTCGGGTTAAATTCCATTAGGTCCGTTGCTAGTTGATTTATTATTTGTGACATACAGTGGGAACTTTCATAGCTTCTTTGTTGTTCATTGCCTAAAAGGTACCATACATTTAAGCACTGATACCTTATGCGAATATCAATTATTGATTCACCGAATTGGTTAATTATTTGGTATAGATAGCGTATATATTTAAATGTTATAACATAATCCCTTTTGGGGCTTTACTATTATTTGTGTAACAATACCTAGAATTTTCCATATGCCTGTTGTATTGGCAGTCGGAGAACTTAAACTTCACTTATGCAAATGTGAGTCAATGCAAATCAAAATCAAAAGAAATTGCACGACTGTCACTAAAAAGGGGTAACCTTACCACTCAGTGACCCATAGACAAAGCCCATATTTGAATTCGGCTCGAGTTTCGTACACCTGCGTGTCCAATTATTTCAAGTGTTGCAGCTGAAAGCAAAACCGAGTAAATAATATGCCATTGCCTATTTCCGGAGTTAGTGCAGCTCCACGGCTGACGGCCAAGCGATTCCGGCCGGAATGCGACTACTGACATTCAAAACGTCGCACCATCCAACTGTCAGTCATTTTCGGAACGCCATGGCTGCCAAGTCCACCCACCCACCCCATGTGTGTGTGACCCTTCTGGCTGGTTCAATGTCACAGACCTTGGTGCTCCGTGCTCCAAACTCCATGTGGAGCCCACATATGCGGCGTATGTCTTTCGGGCGGTGCGTTTGTTTATCTAGGCCGAAATGCCGCCCTGACAGCTCGTGTGCACTCGAGTGATATGTGAGTGACACCGCCTGATTTGCGTCACTGGGTCGGAGGTCGAAGGTCGAAGTCGGGGAACCCCATATGTGGGGCTACGCAGCTGCGATGCCAGCGATGCCAGCGATGTCGCCCCTGGCTTAATTATAAAGTGGCTGTCTGCGTTGAGCAAAACTCTAGAACGGTCCAAACGTTTCCTTTGAGCCGGAAAGGAGATGTATAATTAAAGATTGGGCTGAGTCATTTATGGTGTAACTGATGATGCACTACAACTTTGTTGGCTCAAATCACCTGAGCTTAACTCTAATCAACTTAACTCTCGAACAAAGGGCAGTCCAGAGCTGCAAGGCAAAGTCTATAGACAGTCTATAGGCAGGTACATGTGTTCTAAAATTTTCCATTGACAACGTAAGCAAACAAAGAGCATCTTAATGGAAATCAGGTGGGGCCTGAAGCCCAATCGGCATGGCGTGCAAATGTACACTTGCGAACTTGCGCCACCGCCAGCACACGAACCTATTGCGAACTTGGAGCGCTCTATTCACCTCTGACCCACCACCCGCTGTCACCTCTTCCCTCGCGACCAGGTGGACATTGAGAAGCTGGACTACAGCCTCTATCTGCCGCTCTTCTTCGACGGCCTGGCGGAGACGAAGCATCCCTACAAGACCTATGCCCGCCAGGGGGTCACGGATCTACTGCTGGCCGGGGGCGAGAAGATACACCCGGTGATACCGCAATTAATATTGCCGCTGAAGAGTGAGTACCAGGGATTTGGCTGGCACGCAAATGCCCGAAGTTTTTCGGTCTAATTTGCACCTTGCCAATGCGAATGCAAATACCATTCCAAATACGCCCCCGTTTTCAGACGCATTGAGCACACGGAACCTGGAGGTAATGTGCACGACATTGAAGATAATCCAACAGCTGGTCATGTCCTCGGATTTGGTGGGACCCGCCCTGGTGCCCTTCTACCGCCAGTTGCTGCCCATGTTCAATGCCTTCAAAGTGAAAAACTGTAGGTATTTCGCCGAACTGCCGTACTCCCAGTAACTTCCATTCAAGGATATTCCCTCCCGGTCCCGAGCAGTAAACTGCGGCGATGAGATCGACTACGCCCAGAAGAACAACCTCAATCTGGGGGATCTGATCGATGAGACGTTGCAGGTGCTGGAGCTGCATGGCGGCGAGGATGCCTTCATCAACATCAAGTACATGGTGCCGACCTACGAGTCCTGCTACTTGAACTGAACTACGCTTCATGGTCTTGTTCCTTTACATGCAACATCATAAGTATTTATTGAATTTTACAAAACATTGCGGCATTAAATAGATATTTGTTACCAAAGTGATACGTGTTTGCGAGTACATATTACATGTGCGTATAATATATGCTTGAGATTATAGTTTTGGCTACATATGTGGATATATACAAGTGATTTGGACCAACATTCCGGCGGGGATGCTGGTCGCGTGTGGGGCCCATCGTGACCCCCCTTTAGGTCTTCACTTGGTGGGGGCGTACTCGTTCTTCTTCACATTGTGGGGGGAGTAGCGATTGTACAATCCCCAGATGGAGTTCATCAGCTTGTCGTTGTACTTGTTCGGCGAGTACTCGCGCTCTGGAAGTGCACAAGTGATGCGTAAGCGCTCCGTTGACCCAGTGGATCGAGGTCGAGACCATGTAGATGTGTACTTACGGGTTAGCGCGTTCCCGTTGTCAACGGAACCCTTATCTGCAGCAGCGGACCTCAGGCGGGCGATGGTCAGCTCCCGCTCGTTGAATTGCTCTCGGATCTTGCAGGCTGCGAAGGCACCTTGTGGAATGGCGGCCATCTCGGCAACTGGGGGGCAGCGAAAGTTGCTTGTACATTGGTAATACTGGCGGAAACCACTACTCACCACTTAGGGAAATAAAGCTCAGAAGGGAGATGAAGTCTAAGTTTCGCAAGAGGCTTGTGTTCCAGCACTCTGCGAAATGCTGATCGAGGTTGGTGATTTTTGCGCAGTGCTGCAGCAGCATTCAAAGGCCAAACTCAAAGTCCGGAAAAGATGGTGGGATAGGGAGTATTTCGCTTGAATCGAAATGTGTCCCAGTGTCTTTTTGTTTGTTATTACAACTTCGGCTAAGATTGAGATGTGGCCAATTGGAAGGGGTTGGTGAGTTCTGCACTACAGGTTTGGCATTTAATGCCCGTCGTGGTTTCTGGGATTTGCTCGATGGTCTGCGATGGATGTGTCTGCTACTCGGAGAGGAACACTCAGCACAAGGGTTTGGACTCAAACTGAAGACGTCGTCTGGCAGCGAATGGAATTTATAGACCGCGTGCTCGGATCGCCTCGGAACTGCCAAGTGATAAGCGGGTGACAGGAGAGACGGGAGATCAGGCTGCCTTGATAGCGCGATTACAAAGCCGGCAAGTGATCGCCATTTTGTGCCACTTATCAGCTGCAGTTGCCATTGTTTTGGTTTTGCTTCTGCTTCTGCCTACACAGGCCTATTTGTTTCCAAGCTCGACGGGAAGTTTCGCTGGGCTGGGAAGTAGATTTGAGCACTTGATACGGGTGCGGCCATCTCTGCTGCGACATCTGTGGCTATCGGAGCCCTGGATCTACATACACCATTTTTGCTGGGCTCAGCCAAGATTAAGGGTTCTCGTTCCAGCCACGAGTGTCCCTGTACTCAAATGGCTGGCCATCTACGAGACTTTATTGCAAAACCAGATTAATCCAGCTGACAACACACATTAGCATACAAAGGCATTTGTGATTATAATATTGTTAAAAACTGACCTAAGTGCAAGTTGTTTACTGGAATTTTCACTTATTCGTTGTTTTGGCGCAGTCAATGTTCATGCTTTTGCACCTTAGATTTGATTGTGATTAGTCATGATCTGGGATTTTCTGAGGATTTACAAAACAAAAGAACGAGACATTTTCTTAGTTGATACCTGACTTTTTTCACGTTCTAGAAAACTGTACACTTGAAAAAGGTTAATTTTCAAAGGTTAATTAAGTAATTTATATTTCATATTAATTTCTATTTATGAAATTAATACTTTTCAAACGGAATGAGAGTGACGGGTTCAAGTTGAATATTTAACCACATGGAGATTATTGGGCAGGAGGTTACTAGTTCAGTTGCACATGACCAATTTAACTATACCCAAAAGTAACTCACTGTATTTGCCAGTGTATTGAACATATTATATGCATGATTCAAGGAGTAATCGCTGTATAAAACAAAGAACGGGCGACTAGTGAAACCAGTAAATAGGTGGGTGATCGATCCGATGGGGATCATGGAGATGACCCTCGTAAAATGCTCTCTATAATACGATTAAAAATAAATCGCATAGTCAGTGACGTGCACAGTGTTTACTACAAAAAAATTAATCTTTTCACAATGCCGAGAGCCACTCACGATAATACTGCCGATGCTCTATGAAGTGGGTACCGAATTCTCACAGCATTCACACAGTTCCAAACACATTTAATTTAGGAACTACGAAAAAAAAGGCCGAAATGTTTTGGTTGATAAGACGACTGATGGAAGCCACGAGCGTTGAGATCACGTAGAGCCAGGCTTTTTCGCAGATTTGAACTCGGCGTGTGTGCCGATAATGCCTTTTTTTACCTTTTTTGCTATGGCCTTTGTGGTCTAGTTCAACAATCTCTCCATGACTTAAGCAAAATACTGATGTAACAATAATTCGCTTATCACTTTCGGTCTGTTTTCAAACAAACAATTATGGCTGTTCCAAGTTCTGCTTATGGCCTTTAATCTTTAAACAATTACTTAAACAACTGATCTGAATAACACTAGGTCACTGAAAAATGTATCCACGTATTGTTCTGCTTCTGCATAGACTTAAAAAAAATGTTTCATGAAAACATAACCGGAAGAAAAAAAATAAATATTTTAAATATTTTACAATAAAGTATATGTGCACGCAAAAAAACGGATCTAAAATAGGTGAAATGTTAATTGTGGTTTTTGAATTTGAAATGGCGCCAACAAAGATAGCAAAATTTCCAACACTGACCGGAGCACCACTGTTCTTTCATTAGGTGGCAACGCCCTCGCCAGACAACCAGGCTGCGCATTTCAAGTCATCGGCGAGGCTAAAATTAACAATTGGCTGTCAAAAGCAAGAAAAGAAAAACTCGGGAAATTGTTAATTAAAATCGTGACCCACATCAGCGCATTCAGCCCCCGGTCGCAGCGATGACGTGGAAGAAGCAACTGGCGCTGCTGGCCAAGCCATACTACTGGGTGAACATCCTGCTGGCCATATCGTACCTTTTGGCCAAGAAGACGCAGTTCATCTGCACCCGCCTATTTATTCTCGCCGGAGAGGATGAAGCGTGCGACCTGGACAGTCGTGAGGTGGAAATCTTGTTCTTCCTGCTGATCGTGGTGATGATACGGTCACGCAAAACGGGCAGTGTCACCATGATCAACTACTTGGCCTCGTCGTTCCTCTACACCAAAGTGGCCAATGCCATTTTGTGGGCCTATGCGGACTTCCGCTACGGCCTGGGCTTTCTGCTGCTTTGCGTCCTGGTGGGCATGGTCCTGCCGGAGCCCTCGTACCGCGGACCGGAGCACATCACCTACTTCCGCAACGCACAGGTTTTCGAAGAGGAGTTGGCCAGAGACAAGCGGACCACCTGGCTTATCTGCTTCTACACTGTGTGGAATCCAAGCTGTGTGAACTTTGCCCCCGTTTTTGCCGAACTCTCCGCGGAGTACAACACGGACCACCTGAAGTTCGGCAAGGTTGACATTGGACGCTTTCCGGACGTGGCCCAAAAGTATCGCATCTCGGACAGCAGCTTCTCCCGACAGCTGCCCACTGTGATCCTGTTCCAACAGGGCAAGGAGACGGACCGCAGGCCCTGCGTCGACTCCAAGGGCAAACTGCAGAAGTTCTTCTTCTCCAGCGACAATGTGCGCGCCGCCTTTGGCCTCAACCAGCTGTACAAGGAGGCCGTGGAGCGACTGCCCATCGCGCCCAAGGAGGCCAAGAAGCTGCAGTAGGCTGTCCTGGCCCCCACTGCTGCCATCTCATTTCTGCGTGCACGTGCTAATAACTGTTATTCGTTTAGTTCATAGTTTATTTTAACTTATTGAGGAGCTGCCACCGCCGAAGACACGTTCAATTGCACTAATAATTGCATTCTAAACTCAAACGTGCTTTCGTCGCGATGCCATTGTAGAAAATATTTGTATGATCTTGCATTTGCATAAATTGTAGCTAATCACCAGGTACCAAATATATTTTAAAATGTGAAATGAGTCAACGAAGTTACAAGTTCCTCTTTCATTCCCTGCCGAGTCTACTATTTCATTCAATTAGCACCGCTTAAACGATCATTTCCGGTTCTCATTTAAGAACAAGTTTACTTCAAGATGTACTGGGCAAGCGTAAATTGAAGAGTTTATTGCTGTGCGCAAATATGAAGGTGTAGCTAGTAAAATAATACCTCGTTGTGGAAAACTAGGGAGTGAATAAAGCTTTAGAAAGGCATCCATCCATATTGATAGTCGGTACATGTGTACATATATAAAGTGTTTGTGGCAACCCACAATTTTATGACATATTTATGTGTTTTATATGTTATGACTTGCCGCTTAAAACAGCAAGCTTCGTATCCTCCCCGGTTTATGAAATATAAAACCAAATGGGCCTGTGCCCGTTGTGACTCCGAATGTGTTGAGCAAAATTGTATGACAATGCAAATGGCACAACGAAAATGTTTCCGGCGTGTTGCGTTCTGCTCCGAAATGGCCCCGCAGACATCGGCCATATAGACAGATCGTATGTGGATATATATACATACGCGTATATACGTAAATATATAAATATAAGGACCCAACAGGCCAGACGCAGAGCGAAATAAACGCAAATCCCTTTTATCCATTCAATATGAACACACATACATACATACGTGTAGAGAAACGGACGAATTTAAATGCATAAATACAGGCGACTGCACACCAATCGCCACCCACCGAACACCACCCACCACCCCCACAGATGGGGCAAGGCCTTTGTGGTTAATATTTGTATTTTTCTTTACTCTCAATGAAACGGCATGAAAATGGCCATTGCATTTTACGTGTATTGTATTGTGTATGCTGAATAATGCGATTGTCTCACACGGCCGTTTTATTTGCGGAAAATTTAAATTCGCCACTGCAATTGGGACAAGATTCACACCGTCCTGGAGTAATTATGGGCACCTCTGTGCCGCCACATCAGCACCCACTGCCCCTACCAGTTGCCGCACCCATTCCCGAACCAGTAATGGCTTCCAAGCGCTGTCACCCGCTCCTCACGACGAGAAATCCAATAAGCACTTGCTCCGCAGCGGCAACAAAACGCATTGTTGTCGCTATTTTCACGTTGATTTCTCTTATTGCTACGGAAAAACCGGTGCTGGCCACATTCAATTGATTTTGAGTGATTTTTTGGGAAGTCCCTGTAGGAACACCGAACACAATATTGAGTTTGAATTGTTATTTAAGGCCTTGTAATTAATTGTTTTTTATTAGGAGATATACCATTTACTTGATTCCATAACTACATTTTCAGGATATTTGAAAGGTTACTTAAAATGCGTATATGTAAGAATATTTTGGTATATGGCGCACAGCTTTCCTTTTTATTTCATTCCTTAAATTAAATGCAGGGTATAAGTAAGGGTACCTGGGAGTCCTACATCACTTCACCGTGCATTGTTACGTCTGCTCCGTTTCGGTGGCAGTATTTTTATTGCGTTTTTATGTCAACACCAGCTGGCAGCGTCTTAATATCCTTCGGTCGAAGTGCTGGATTGGGTTTTTGTATATTTCTGTCAATTGCTCACAATTAAATTAAAATTCAAGTCAAAGCCAGCCGCCATTCAGTTCCAGGGAAAGCCGCAAGTCAGGACAATTGAAGCCCAGCTCAGGTGCTTTTCCTAACTGGGTAACGTGTGGCTCTTAAAAGGGGATTAAATAAATCAATTTTATTCGAAATATCCTTGGGAGATATATTGCACAATAGGTTTAGGGTTTCCCTTTTAAGTTAAAATCGCCTATTTAATCGTAGATTTCAGTGGTTGATTTTGGATCGTCGCAGAACAAAAAGCCATTCAAAAAATAAACTATCAAAAGCCTCTATCTTAAGCTCTTGCAATTGATGGAAGACAATGAGAATGTTAGTACTTTATCAGCTGTATGCTGCCTCTTATTTCAAAAAGTGAGTTGAATAGTGAAGGTATCTAAATTTGATAATAGAATTCCCAATTCTTACAGGTTGAGGATCACTTTTCCCCATTAAAGAGGAGGTGGAAGACGAAGACAACCTTAAGATCCACAAATATGGTAAGTAAAATATAAAGTCCGACTATCTGCACTGCAAAAAAAGCAGGTCCTTCTCCGTGACAATGCGTATCTCAGCATTGCCGTGACCAGGATTCGAACCTGGGTTACCACGGCCACAACGTGGGGTCCTAACCACTAGACGATCACGGCTACGAAGGCACTTGAATCTGCGAGCGTTAATCGCGTGCATAAGCAGCGCACATACATGTAAGTAAGAGTGAATGGGTAGCTAAGACTAAACTGGGGCCATTTGCTGCATTTCTTTGCTCCAAAACAACTCGTTTGTGGAGCAACTACGAGTACTGCCGCCTCCAAGCGCAGCAACGCCCAAGCAGCAGCAACCGCAGCAGTGAAAGTCCAAAGCACTCGAGCGGGACAGACAAAGCCACAAGACCGACAAACCGTCAGCCGATAAACAAGATTTTGGCTCATAAATTAATTGGAATTTGCCAAGCCAGCACAAGTGGGCTTGCTGGGGGCGGGAAGTGGGCGTGGTGCTGGGCTTAGCGCTTCGATTCGATTCAATTCGGTTTGCTGTTCGCTTGGTTTTGCTGTTCGAAGGGTCGAAAATCGGGTGGTGGGTCGAGTTCCCAAAATAAACCACATTTGAATAAATTTAGAACGCTACGAAGGAATTCATAAAGTTGTATTTCTCTGGGTATTTTAAATATTTAGCAGATCTAATAAATAATGTGATTCTATTGCTGTCGTTATCTAAAATCAGATTTTCAACTTTCAATTTCTTTTAAGATTTTACCTAAGATTCATTTAATTTATGTGTTGCGCTTCACTAAGTTTCTTATCTAACAACACGCCCACAGTGATAAGAACATATTATTCTTATCAGGCAGTGCAATATTATAAATTATGATCAATTAAGCGGAAGGTGAAACAGATTGCAGATAATAAAATTCATGTGTAACTGAAAAAAGTGTAATAAATACGATTTTATGTCGACACTTTTTTGTGCGCAGACATGAAAAGTTTATAGAAGGTAAAACATTCCGTAGCCACTGGCATTCATTAATTTCGCCATAAATAAAAGTTTTGATGTCTGTGCTCACCTATAGCCGGGGATTAATACTTTGTGGCACCCTTGCGCTTCAATTAATAAACATAAAAGTCTGACATTTCGCTAAAAACATATGTGAATATACTCGAACTTTTGCTTTCACGAACCCATGAACAGGTTTCGATTGCCAGGAACCACAGCTCGCCAATTTGAACTTGTACAATCCAGTTTCATTATATTTGGAATTTAACGATAATGTAATTACCCTCAAGTGCAGAATTATTTCAATGGCAGTTTTGTTTTTATTCTGGCCCACTTGCAAACACAGATGCACGAGCGTGTGTGTGTGGAAGTCGTCGTTTTGTGCCGTCGAAACCCTACAATATTGAAAAGTATTTACACGAAAGCTGCCAATTCAAAAACACATTCCCACACTCGCCAAGTCCTTGTACAAATATTTTTTTGTAAAATTCGTGGCCTGTTTTTTGAACATAGAAAAACTGGACGCTTTTTGTGAGCGGTGAAAGTAGGTGCGCTCCAATAACTACACAAAGGTTGTGCTGTGGGTTGGTCCGTTGGGAATCCGTAACAAAGTCCGGTTTGCATTCGCAAAAATATTTTTTTACAAGTGGCATATAACTTTCTAGGGTGTCCTTTTCATGGATGTGTTGGTAAGCGGGCTTTGCAATCTGAACGATAATCGGCAGGACACAAAAACGTGTCATTAAACATCTGAGATCTTTGAACTTTGCACTAAAATAAACCGGATTTCGTATACTATAGCCATTCACGTGGGTGCCACCAGGTCTGCCAATGCCATTTTTTGCGTGTGGCATCAATAACGTGGCCGGCATATAAATTGTGGCCAGGAGCACGTCAATCGGTAGTCGGCCCTAAAATGCTGGTCGACACGGACCTGGCCACTGGAGTGATCCGCTCGCCGTATAGTTTCGACATACCGCACGCCTTTATCTTCAACGAATCGCAGTTCGTGAAGCCCGTGTTTTGTGGACCCTACATGGAGATAGTGAGGCTCTTCGCTGAGGTGTACCACTACCAGCTGTTCCTCGATCCGCTCGAGAGTTTGCCCAAGAAATCGGTGATGGAGCAGGACATTATCAGCGGCAAGTACAACCTCTCGCTTCATGGGGTGATCATTCGGCCGGAGACGACCAGTAACGTCTCCCACGCCACGCAGCATAGTTATCCGCTGGAGTTGATGACCAACTGTGTGATGGTGCCGCTTGCGCCCGAGCTGCCCAAGTGGATGTACATGGTGTGGCCGCTGGGCAGGTACATCTGGACATGCCTGTTCTTCGGCACCTTCTACGTGGCCCTCCTGCTGAGGTATGTGCACTGGCGGGAGCCAGGGAACGCCACCCGATCCTTTACCAGGAACGTGCTCCAGGCCATGGCGCTTTTGATGTTCAGTCCCAACATGAACATGTCCGTGAAGCTGAAGCACGCCTCGCTGCGCGTTATAACCTTCTACACGCTGCTCTACATCGTCGGCTTCATCCTGACCAACTACCACCTCAGCCACATGACGGCCTTCGATATGAAGCCTGTGTTCCTGCGGCCCATCGACACCTGGTCGGATCTGATCCACTCGAGACTGCGAATCGTTATCCACGACTCGCTGCTGGAAGAGCTGCGCTGGCTGCCGGTGGTGAATACCACCTCGTTGGATCCGCAGTTCGATGCGCGCAGCTGACAGGACTACCAGGCCCTGCTGGCGAGTCCATCACGTTCCTACGCCTATGTGGTCACCCAGGATGCCTGGCTGTTCTTCAACCGGCAGCAGCGGGTGCTCATCCAGCCGTACTTCCACCTCTCCAAGGTGTGCTTCGGCGGCCTCTTCAACGCCCTGCCCATGGCATCCAATGCCAGCTTTGCCGATTCCCTGGACAACTTCATTCTGAACGTCTGGCAGGCGGGCTTGTGGAATTACTGGGAGGAGCTGGCCTTTCGGTACGCCAAGCAGGCTGACTACGCGAACGTTTTCCTGGACACCTATCCCGTGGAGTCCCTGAACCTGGAGTTCTTCACCACGGCCTGGATTGTCATATCCGCGGGAATACCCATTAGCTCGCTGGTCTTCTGCTTGGAGCTCTTCGTCTATCGCCGCAAGGAGCGACGTGCACAGTATGACCGATTCGAGTGCTACGATTACTAAATTGTGGAAAGTGGTTTATCCAACCAAAACTGAAATGCTTCTACTTGTTCAAAATTGAATATGTTTTTAAAATACGTCAGTTCCCAATGTCCCAATTTCCTAGTTACCTGTTAAAGAGGATTATTATTCTTCTCAATTATCCAGGGCTTAGTTATCAAAAGGCTTAAATGCGATTTTAATAACTTTGAATAGGTCTCAGAATACATGGAGCTTCAGTGGAGGTTATTTAAATATCTGCTCAGGGAGGCAATGTTGAAGTTTTCCCATGGTAGCAATTAAAACCAAATAAATCGGGGCGAAAGAATTGACCTGGCGCACAAACAGGTTAGCCTTTCAATTAATTCAAGGAGCTTCTAGGAGGAAGACATGCGGTCATCGTTTCGGATCTGGCTCTTCCTGTTGACCACATGTCATCCAAGTCATGGCTGGAGCATGCAGTACATGCTCAATGTGCTGTCTCCATTCGCTCAAATGAATGTGTTCCAGGAGCTCGTGTGGTTCGTAAGTCCGCATCAGCGGTTGGACCAAGTAGATGAGTTCATCATGCGCATAGACGAGGCTTTCGGAAAGTCCGCAACCCAGACGGTTGTGAATACCAATACCGAGATGCGAATGAGCCACTCGTCGGCGCGAAGGAACCACATCAGCCTTGTGTTTACCACTGGGGCGGAAGATCCCATAATGAAGGTGTTCAGTACGGTTCTACTTGGACGTCACTTCTACTTCTCGATGGTAATATATGTGGACAAGGTGGGTGACATGCAGCCGATCCACGAGCTTCTGGCCTTTGCCTACAACCAGCAGTTCATCAACTCTTTGGTGTACTTCCAATCGGAGGAGGGCATCAACCAGCTTTTTGGGGTCTCCAAGTTTCCCGTCATGACCTTCGAGAATCGCACCGACATTTTGAGGTACTTCGGAGTAATGTGGAAGCGGGTGCAGGATGCTCGCTCGGATGTAGAAGGTTTTCGATTTGCCACACCACTGCGCCAGGACCTGCCACACCTGTTCCAATCGCAAGGACACTATGAGGGTAGTACGTACCGGATAATAGAGACCTTTGTGAGATTCATCAACGGCAGTATCACGGAGCTTGTAATGCCGCCAGATGGCCTCGGTGGGCAGGTGATTAATATGAAGGATGCCCTGCAGTTGATCCGCGAGCGCAAGGTGGAGTTCTGTGCCCATGCCTACGCCTTGTTCATGCCCGATGAGGAGCTGGACAAGACATACCCATTACTGGTGGTTCAGTGGTGCCTAATGGTTCCGCTCTACAACAGCGTCTCCACCTACTTTTACCCACTTCAGCCCTTTGCCTGGGATGTGTGGCTCTTTGCACTGGGAGCTCTGCTGGCCCTGGTTCTCCTGGAGCTGATGTGGCTCAGGATGTTCGGTGGCTGGTCGGGTTACCACGGCGCTGTGCTGAACTCCTTTTGTTATATCATCAATGTGCCCATCGAGGGCCAGTTACAACAGCCCTGCCTGCTTCGATTTCTCCTTCTGGCCACGGTGTTCTTTCACGGATTCTTCCTTTCCGCCTACTACACATCCAACTTGGGAAGCATCCTCACGGTGAATCTCTTCCACGCCCAGATCAACACCATGAATGACATAGTGAGTGCCCAGTTGCCCGTCATGATTATCGACTACGAAATGGATTTTTTGCTGCACCTGAACAAGGAGTTGCCCCCGGAGTTCTTAGAGCTGCTACGCCCCGTGGATTCGGCGATTTTCTCGCAGCACCAGACGAGTTTCAACAGCTCATTTGCCTATTTCGTCACCGACGATCACTGGCAGTTCCTCGACGAGCAGCAGAAGCATCTGAAGCAGCGGCTCTTCAAGCTGAGCGGCATTTGCTTTGGCTCCTATCACCTGGCCTTCCCCCTCCAGATGGACTCGTCCTTGTGGCGCGACCTCGAGTACTTCACATTCCGCATCCACTCCTCGGGTCTCCTCAACTTCTATGCTCGCAGCAGCTTTGGATCTGCCCTCCATGCTGGCTTGGTCCAGCGAATGCCGGAGAACCAGGAGTATACATCTGCGGGACTGCAGCATCTGGCCATTGCCTTCATCCTTCTGCTTGTGATGAGCTTTTTGGCCGGCATCGTGTTCGTCCTGGAAAAGCTTTCTAGTTAAAGAATTTACCCAGAATTCACTCTTTCATTAGTGAATGCCGGTTTATTACTAATTGAACTTCTTTATTGTGAAATACAGTGCACTTTTCCTTTAAGTCTAATTATAAATTTAAATTCTAGGACTGTTTTCAAAGGGAGAAGAAATCTACAAAATGCTACGAGACTTTTCGGATACCACTGGCATGTTTCCAGAGATTTCCTGCTCCTTGCATCACAGCTTCATGAATCGCCTGAGAAACGACCTGGGCTTGCGGGTTATCCCTATAACAGGACGACGTCTGAAGGTCACATGTTCGTGCCACTTCATCTCGGCGGCAAAAGCCAGGCCGGCTAGGATCAGACCCAAGGTCCAGGTGCGCAGAACGCTGGAGAAGAAATCTAGGCTGAGGGCCATCGGCTCCTCGTCGAATAGGTGCACGTGGATGCGGTGGAGATGCACTGCCTCCCAGAAGGCCTCACGCTCCCAGTGGCTCATGAGGCCCGCATGCTGGGCAATCATTATGTATTCGGTCATCACGGAGCGCATGTGGGAGTCTTTGTGCAGGGGGAACACGTGGTAGAATGGTCCCTCGCAGATGTCCGTTAGCCGGAAGATGGGCCTCCGCAGATGGAGTTGCTGCTGGTTCAGGAACCGCCAGCGATCGCTGCTCACCGTGTAGCCAAAGGAGGTGTTAAATGGGTCACGATGCAGGTCCAGCATGTGCTTGTCCACCAAATCCACCTGCTGCATGTAGTTTTCTGGATATTGCAGCGGAGACCTGGCCATCCTCTCATACTCATTACCCAGCATTTTGAGCCTCAGATTGGCTGCCACCACATCCGCCACAGAGTTTATTTGCCGCACTGGTGGGGCTGCGGTGAAGTAGCTGGTCATGCGGGAAATGTACAAGTTCGAAGTAACTATTCCCCAGATAGCCAGCAGAATGTAAAGGTAGCGCATACGCAGTGTTGGCGTGCGGATGATGAAGGTGGGCACGCTGTAGGTCAAGGTGCAGATGGACTGCAGGAATGCGGCGCTGAGGTCACGGGGTCGCAGCGGTGAACACAAGTAGATAGCCGCAGTTATGTAGAGTGTGAATAGGCAGATCAGTATCCACACATTTTCCTGGAGAGCCTCGTGCATGTACTGATCTGCAGGAGATTGATTTCGATAGGGCACCATGATGCAGCAGTCGTTAATGCCAATGGGATAGCTGTAGCTGACCACGTGCTTGGTGGTGATTTCGGTGAAGGAGTGGATCAGGGTCTCGTACACTCCGTGGGACACCAAGTCCAACAGGTTCGTCATGTTCAAATAGTCATCGGTCACAGTTGCGCTGGTATCCACTAGAGTGGCATTGACGAATTCCAGGAATCCCAGAAACAAATTCCCACTGGTGCCGTGGATGAAATTTCTCTCGTACCTGTTGGAGGGCCGGTCCGACTTAAAGACCCGTGGCATATCGTACAGGATGGGGGTCCTTACCAAATAGCCCTTCATGTTCTTGGCATATTTCTGGAAGAACTCCTCGGCTCTCCATGCGCCCGTCCTGTTGACAATCGATGGCGTGGGATAGGGATCCAGTATGAATACATTATCCTTAATGGTGACCAGCAACGTGTTGATGAACTGCTGCCTCCACACCCAATCGTAGACATCCTTAATCTCGGCGGTGAAGTGGGCTAATGACTCCGGATTCGTTTCGAAGTTGCGGCTTTCTAGGCTGGGGAAAAGCACGAATATCGTCTTGAGCCAGCGAATTCCCTGTTGATAGTGGGCAGCCACCTCCATGATGGGATCGTCCTTACCCGTAGTGAAGACCATCACCAGCGATGGAGTGCTGATGAACTGCATCATGGGTATGCCCAAATGGTGCTCCCTCGTTATTATCAAATTGGGCGCCATGGGAAAGTAGGTCCAGAAGTTGTGAAAGAACTCCTGCGAGGCCTTGTTATTAAGGTCGAGACTTTCAGATACATAAAAGACGAAGTTCTTAAAGTGGTACAGCTGCGTTATTCGGTAGAACATTTCCAAAACGAACATGTTGTTCAGCAAGGCGATGTTATCGGATCCACTGGCTGGGAAAATGCTCGATTCTCTGAGAATAAGTTCCGCTGCACGACTATCCATATTTGTTGGCCGAGTGCCAGTGGGTTACTGTCAAGTTGAAGGACGCTGAGCCTGCCCTTTGCATGTGGGACGTGGCAGGTATTTATCACCAGCTTACTGCAGTTACCATATAGCCGGCTGGGTCCAAGGCAGCGGCAGTAATGGCCATTTGTATTGGGCCAGGAGCGGTTTATGGGTGCTCACTTGCAACTATTTGAATATGATCGTTTATTGAACTAATTAAACTGGTTTTGCTATTGGCGTAAAGGGAAAAATAGCTCATTCTTGTGGGTAATTCACACTTCATTACCATTTCCTTTCCTAGCATAGGTAAGCTTTGGCGCTCCTGGTGTGAAATCCGCTCGACAAGCTTATTAACTCATGAGGCCTTATTGCAATTTTATCTTAAGTGCAAATCGGGCATATTTAACATTTCGCGGTTTATGCCACAAGGGCCATATAATTGACAAATAGGTTCGGGTCATGCGATGGCGAAACCTGCGGCTGCGTCCCATCGTTTTGTTCCAACCAAGTGCATGGACTCCAGTGGAGCCAAATTAGGTTCGACAAGGTGGGAAATGGTTCAGTTTAAGCCTTAATTTGATCCATGAATTTTCAATAGCTTTTATGGTGCGCTAAAAGCACTTACGCAGAACAGAAGTTGAAAGTTGGACACTTCAATTAATTGGGAGTTTAATAAATGTATCAGCATAAATTGCATAAATTGTGTGAATGATTGGAAATCTTCTTCAATGACGTGTAAAATGGCATGGAATTTCAGAACGCAGCCATTCCACATCAGCAGCCGTTGAACAATGTCGAAACTTGGGGCATGTTGCACTGCTCATTAAAATTTCATTGCTGCAAAACTCCATAATTGACGCAAAGGCCACGAGCTCGGTGGCAGCCACGAAGGCTTATCAGGCTGTTTCTTGGCAGTCTGGCATTCTGGCATTCTGGCACTCTGGCATTTGAGGCCAAATAGCTGCCTGGTAATGCAATTAGCCACGCGTTTCCACACACACTTGCTGCGAAAGCACGAAAGCACGAAAGCAAGCCAAAAGCAAAAGCAAAAGCACAAAGCCATCCGCACTGTTTGCGGCTTAAAATATTTATGATTGATGCAGCCGATGGTTTTTCCCCTTAGCTGGCTCTAATGTCCCATTGACAGCATGGATTGTGTTGCTTTGTTTGCCCGATGATTTGTCAGAAGCGTTGTAATTTAACGCTTTCCTAACTTGTGTTTAAGTCCCTTGCCAAGGACTTCAAGGATGCACAGTGCGTGGGAAAGTAACCAACTGGGCGATACCTGAAGCCAAGCTTCCTTTGTAAGTGCTTTGAGTTCCTGGCCAAAACTGCCTCTTCGCTTTAGCTGCGTTTTTGCCAAGTTTTCGCTGTTTATTTTTGACGCCGAAAGCAATGAAATACATTAAGCCCTATTCTGGGCCTATACAATGGGTGAAACGTGTTTCTGTTTCACCTTGGTTTTTAAATGATAAATTATTCTATGCAATATAAGTTGCAAAGTTATGTTTGAAAGCATGGACGTAAAAAAGTTCGAAGGTTTTTAAACTCTTGTATCTGCAATAAACTAAAATGCTTAGATTTTTGTAGATGATTGTTTCCTATAAATAAATCATTTATTCAAAATTGCTATCTAAATTATCAATAAACTTCTCGTTATTGACAATAATTTGCCACGTGAATAAGCCCCAAATGGAACGCAATTGACTTTAGCGAAATTGTCATAATTAAATACACTTTGCAAGTGGCATTTGTAAGTGCCAGCCAACCCACTCGACACAATCTGATATTAAGTTATAAATTCGCCATCCAGTGATGCCCTGCGGCCAGTGCTATTTTTTTGTGTGTTTGCCAGTATCTCATTTCAGCTTTTTTAGTTACACTTTATTTCTCAAACAGTGGATGCGAGTGTTGTATGCTGTGTGGTTGAGTTCGGGATGGGTGGGAGTGGGTGTATTGTGTTTAAAAGTGGGCATGGGGACGTGTTTTTGCCATTTCTAAGCGGAAGCGAAATGTGCGAGAGTAGTTGAAAGCCCTCGAGTTGTTTCGTTGCCGTTGCTCATGTCAAGTGCCAGCTGCTGCCACCCCCCGAAACTTCAACCCCAACCCCAAGCGCCCACCTTCAACCTTCAGCCTCTGGCAGCGGACCACGCCCATTCCGACAGCTGTGCCTGCACTTTCGACATTTAGCGCCGCCCACATGGTTGGTTACCTCCCGAGCGTCCAGGCTGCCCACATCCATCCGCCACCCACCACCCAGCTGAAAACCCCAGTGAGCAGGTGCATCTGACTGGCACCACAGCATGTGTACCTAGTGCTGGCGCCAGCAACCAACTGTTAAGCGAAATTACCGCAATCTCCGCACGTCGAACACTTTTTAATGCTGAAAAATGTATTTTCTAATTTTCCCTCCTTGCCCTTGTTGTCCGTTCGTGTTTTTCCTCCGGACGGACAGTCCATCGGTTGGTTGGTCAAGTTTATTTGGCTTTGCCAGTTTTTGGCAAGGGAAAATGGCAGGTGCAAGGAACGAGGCTCAAACTGGCCGGCCAATGTTAATGAAAAGTAATTATTTTTGCGCCAAAACTTTAAACTGATATTGCTAGGAGCGTGGACTTTGTTGAGTGTGGACTGAGTTGGCGTCTTGAAATTGTATTCGTGGCGAAATTTTAATATAACTTGCCAAGTGTACGGTAAGCTAAGAGCTTTCAAAGTAGACAATTTCCGCAATCTTTGCTGCACGGAAAAGTGGGGGGAAAATGGAAAATGGGGTAAAGATGATTTGCAGACATTGTTAAAATTTGTGAACCGTGGAAAAAATGGATAAAGACTTTGAGCCAAAAATTGTGTGCTATCTTATACAAGACGTAATTCAACAACAGATGGTTACA